GGGGCTGGATGCAGACTGGAGGGAGCGGCAGGCTGACCTGCGTTCGTGGGGGTGGACTTGGGGTCTTGCGATCTGGTGGCCTTCTCCCTGGGGGAGATTTTCCAGGGGCTGGTGGCCGGGTCCTGGTCCTGGTCCTGCTCATTAACCTGTGGGCTCCCCGGGCTCCAGGCAGCTCCAGTGCAAGCCCCAAGGAGGCGCTCCGCCGAGGACACTGCAACTCCCCCGCCTCACCCAGTTTCATGCATTACAGATTTGCATGCATGCTATGAAATTCAAATGTGTGGAAATCGAGCATGGGTCCGCCGTGTTATAAAGAGGTGAGCATTTAATCCCTGGAGGGTTAAACTAGATGATCAAGTCTCTGAGTAAACTGTTTAGGCATGGTCATTGATAGTTTACTTTCAGAATTTTGTACATGTCCATTTCGTTAGCTCTTTTCCTTCCCAGTTGAACATTTATCTGGGTGACTTTTCATCCAATAAGTAGCTGACTAAGGTGAAAGATTTGCCACTTCTGGCCTGTTCCGTGCAGTTTTCTTCTTGGTCTCCAACATACCAGGTTTATGAGACCAGCCCTTCTTCCTCTGGGGATAAACGCTTCCGGGTGTCGGGTCTTCACTCATTTCGATAACACTTTTATGAAACCAAGGGCAATATAATATTCAAACAATTGCATAGAACGTTCTGCAGAGCATCAGCAAATGTAGAGAGAGGCTCAAGGGAGCCTGGTTTAGGGATATGGGCCCCTTGGGAGAAGCCGGGGTTCCCAGCAGCTGAGCCAATCCCATGGGACGTGCACAGGACGTTTGTTCAGGGAGACACAAATCAGAGACCGCTGGACACTTCCTCACCCGGGCCCTGGACTGGGTATCTTCATCTTGATCAAGATTCAGGAAGCATGGAGCCCCACCCTCACTTTCTACCCCACAACCTGTAGCCCCTGCATCTCCCAGGGTGGAGTCCTCCTGCATTCCAGCCTGGCTACAACCACACAGCAAGAAAGGACCAGGCTGTGGGTACTGGCATGGGCTGAGACCCCTAGCTTCAGGCTGGTTCTGGGCACATACCAGGGAGAAAGGTTTGTCCAGGAGAACGTATCTGCTGGAGGAGCACCCCAGATTAGATCCAAGGCATGTGTGTGAAGGATCAGAAAGGGTAAGACAAAGAGCATCTTTCTGACTCTTCCCCTACGCAGGCCAGGTCAAGCCCCCTGGTGCTCTCTAGAGCTCCAGCACTTTCTTCTAAAGCAGCACACACCACGTGCAGTTTTTCTCCTGTTGGAGCCATTCCTAGGTAATGTTGGTCTCCCTCCAGAGCGGGAGCTCTGTGAGGGCAAGGTTGATGTCTTTCATCACTCCCCACTCTATCTTTCTTCTTCATTGCTGCGTTCCCAGGACCTAGTGAAGGGCAACGATGGGCAATAAATGTTAGGTGGATGAATGAATGCATGGAGTCACTATGAAGGTGAAAAGGCTCGTGTTAGCAAACGCTTATTGAGTATTGAGTGCTTACTGTGTGCCAGGCACTGCTCTTAGCACTTCCACTTGCTAACCACCACTGGAGAAAGAAGTAGTACAAGGAAGGGACTTAATACATGCTTCCGGATGCCTATGGAGCTAAATTCCACTGGAGGCCCTTCAGGGACCCCAGGGCTGCCCCCAATTTTCCCAAATCTGCTGTATCCCAGGTAGAACCCAGTATGAAGTCATCCTGAGCAAATGGATTCAATTCTCCCTTGCTCTGCAGGAGTGAGAGCTATTCCACGCAGGTGTCTCTCAGGAAAGCCCAGATCTCTCGGGCTGCTTTGATCTGGGGCCAGCAGACCCTGGCAGCTCTTTCTGTCTGTCCCTTGGGCTGCACATTTCCAGCCCTGAGCCTTTGCCTTCAGTTATTCCAACCGTGGAGATGAAACAGGGCAGGCAGCAATGGGCGTCAGGTTTCCTGGACCAGCAGGACTTGGAATTTTACGAGATCTTGAGTTGGAAGGTATGTGACAGATCATTCCACGTGTTCATTCGTCTATTCCCTCGGGGGCAGAGAAGGATTCCTCACTACAACCACTTTCCTCTTGGCACACAAGGAGGCTGCATTTCCCAGTCTCCTTTGCTCTTAGCTGTGGTCGTGTGATTGAGATCTGGTCCATAGAGGCAGATGTGACATAAGCCACATTTAGGCCAGGCCCATAAACCACCCCCGACTCCCACAACTCCCCCCACCACTTTCTCTCTTTCTCCACCTGCAGTTGAAAGGAGGAGACTCTGGCATCCTAGAGAATGGAAGAGCCATGAAATGGAAGTAGCTTGGGCCCTGGGATGGCTGCCCACTCATGAGAAACACTTCGTGGCCTTCAGAGGCAGAGAACAAAATGATGGTGTTAAGCCGCTGAGAACTTGGGGCTCACCTATTAGAGCATTGAGTGTTATCCCAGCGAGTACAGCTCATTGAGCAAATACTTACTGAGCATCTACTATGTGCCAGGCAGTGGGCTAAGCTCTGAGATAGTAGTGAACGGGTGGAAAAAGTTCCTACCCTTTGGGGAGCTTCCATTGTAGTTGGAGAGACCGAATAAACACAGGATCATTTCATATGGTGGTAAGTGCAGCCAAGAAAAAGAAAGCAGGGTCATGGCAGAGAGAGGGATAGGGTGGGAGAGGAGTTTTTAAATCAAGTCATCAGGGAAGCTTTCCTTGAGAAGGGAATATAATATCTGCCGTGAGATTTGAAGACTGAAAAGAAGCTGGCTGTACCTAGATCTGCAGGAAGAGGATTCCAGGCATGGGGAAGAGCATTAGCAAGGCCCTGAGGAGGGAACAAGGTGGCTGGAGAGAATGGAGGAGTGAGTGGAAATGGGTTTGGAGTGGGAGGTGGGAATCAGACTTGCAGGACAATGGAGATTATACAAAGGGGTCTGAATGTTAGCCAAGAGTATTTTAAGTGTTTTATGACCTGTGCATTGTGCTAAGCATTGGAGAAGATCAAATGAGTAGCAAAAATAGACACTGCCCAATTCTCTTAGAGCTCAGATTCCAGGTGACTGACTACCTATCTGATACTTGAATCCTCTCTCAAGTGTCTCTGCCAAGCTGTCTTTGCTTGGCTGCCTCCAGTGACAGGGGGCTCACCACCTAGTGAAGCAGCCCATTGCATCTCTGCATGGTTCTGTTGGCTCAAAGTCCTTCCTTAGATTGCTTCCCGGGGGCCTCTGCTCTGTGGCTCTGGGATTAAGTAAGTCACCCCTTTCTGTCTTATGGAATCAGGGCAGCTACTGCTTTGCCCAGTCATCAGGGATAGCAAGGAGGATAAGACAAAGCCCTTGCCAGAGCTCCTAATAGCTCATGTCTTTCAGGAGAGGTCTTTCAGGCAGAGAGATGCTTTGATACATTGACCGATGTCTCCCCGCCCCCATCCTTCCTCTGTTCAGGAACCACAGGGTGCTCTGTATTTTCTGCCTCAGGGATGGATGTTATAACAAGAGGATAAGAGAGTCAAGTATGTGGTTTTTGGATTTCAAAAGCTTATTTTAAGTCACTAGAATGTGGCTTTTGAGCCTTAAAAGTATGAGTTTTGAAGGATCCAGGGTACAACACTTAGAAAATAACAGACAACGTGGAAGACTGTGATGAGTCAAAGATGGGTGTTGGCATCTCAGCAGAGAGGGCAGCTCCTGGGTGGGGGACAGAGGAAGGGTCTAGAGATGAGACAGTCCCCACAGAGGGCAGGGGGAACCTCACCTCGTATGTAGGAGGGATAGACTCACAAAGAAGCAAATTTTCTTTTGAGAGGATACAGAGATTAGCTAGAGTGAAAGCAGTGGCTAACAGCTCACAAATATCCTAGTTCATGAAGCTGGGCATTCATTCCCACCTCCTGCTATCTTGCTGCTAATTGATCAGCATTTCTTCATTCAGTCCAGGGCCTACTGGAGAGACCCTCTCTTCCGCTGGGTTTGCTACACCACCGAGTGTAAGCTTGAGGGCGCATCTTGCCACCCTGATGGGAGAGCCTGCCTGACAACAAAGTAGAACGAGAGAAAATTAAGTTGAAAGAGACACGCAGCTTCCTGTTGGTATTGTGGAGAGCCTGGATGCAGCCACACCTGAAGCTGTAGCTTCAAGAGTTTTCGGGCATTCAAGAAAACAGATTTATTATTCTTGCTTATTTCTTAAGCTACTGTGAGCTGGGTTTCTGTCACCTGCAACCAGGAGTCCAGATAATACCACCTAGCAGAAGAGAGTGAAAGTGGGAAGTCATTGATTGTGTCAGGCGGGATGCTTTCTCACTGGAGTCCCCCACAGCAGACGAGGTGGCTGAAACTCAGAGAAGGCATTGAACTAGCCCAGGAATAGCCAAAGTTTGAACATGGCTCTGCTGTATCATTTTGATCCACTGCATGCCTTCGGAGGAGGAGGAGCTGATGCCCCCTGGTCCAATGTGCTCCTCTCATGGGCCGCCCTGCTGCCCATGCAGCAGAGAAGAGATGGGAGAAGGGGCATGTCCAGAGTGTGTGAGGAGTCGTGCAAGTGAGCCTCTGTGCACATCTGGATTGGGGAGCGAAGCAGATGGCCCATCTGACTTCACCACATCGTGTAAGTTTACGGCGTCGGCAGGTTCTCCTCCCTGCTGCGTTTATAGGGATGTCTTCAGGATTTCCTTTTTGATATACGAGAGAGGCGCGTAGGCTGGGGCCCCCTCCATCAGAGGGTAATCTGCGAGTAAATCACTGTAAACCAGCAGGCAAGTGTTTGCGCGGGCCAGCGCCCTGTACGTGCTTTGGGATAAATCTTCTCAGTAACGTGTGTACGCGTGTGACCCTTGGGACGAAACGGCATGAAAAGGTCAATTACAAGGGGCACAGGGAAACTTGCCCTTTGCTCCCGCTCTGGACCAGAGGACAGAACAACAGGATGGTAGGAGGGTGTATTGGTTTCCCAGGGTTGCTATAATAAAGTACCACACATGGAAGGGGTGTAAGACAACAGAAATTTATTCGATCATGGTTCTGGAGGCTTGAAGTCTGAAATCAAGATGTCTGCAGGGCTATGCTCTTTCTGAAGGCTCTAGGAGGGAATCCTTGCCTGTCTCTTTCAGCTTCTCATGCTTTCTGCAATCCTTGGTGGTCCTTGGCTTCTAGATGCATCACTCCAGTCTCTGCCTCTGTGGTCACATGGCCTTTTCCTTGAAGGTCTGTGTCTCTGTATCCAAATCTCTCTCCCTTATCTCCTATAAAGTCACAAATCACTAGATAAGGACCCACTCTAACCAGTATGACCTCATCTTGATTACAGCTGCAGAGACCCTATTTCCAAATAGAGTCACATTCTGAGGATCCAGGTTGATAAATTTTGGGAGGATAATATTCCACCTGGCACAGAAGGGGAAAGGGAAGTTTTTGCTTGAAGAAGGGGCTTGTCTGGGGGTGAGAGGGGCTTCAAAATCTGTGCATGCCCCTTTGGGAGTAATTCCTTAAGATAGCAAATCTCACAGCAGCTTCTGTTCTTTCCAACAAATAGGCCTCTATGGGGCCCATATGAGAACGAAGGCATTTCCTCTAACCCAGCAGCTCTACTCCTAGGAACATCCCCATTAGAAGTATGCCCTTCTGGTCATTGGAAGACATATACTAGAATGTTCTCAGTAGAATTATTTCTCTTGGCTGAAAACTGGAAATGCTTATCTTGGCAGATTGCAATAATAGTCACAGTTCTCTGCAGCCCATCCCATTAGAAGGCAGAGTCTATTTCTTCTCCCTTGAATCTATGTTGGTCATGTGATTTGCTGTGGCCAATAGAGTGTGGTGGAAGCAACGTGCACCAGTACCAAGCCTAGGTTTTAAGAGGCCTTTTGCTCTCTTGGAACTTGCAGTTGCTGTGTGAAAAGTCTAGGCTAACCTGCTGGAGGATGAGTGATGGGTGGAGCACAGATGAATTTTCAGAGTTGGCTTCATCTGAGACTAGCCAGCCCTAGCTGTGGAAGGCAGACACATAGCAAACCCAGCCAAGATCAGCCAAGCCCAGCCCAGAACAGAAGAACCACCAGGCTGATCCCTGTCCAAATCTACTTCTGGAAGCATGTGCTAAATAAACGGTTGCTGTTTTAAGCCACCAAGCTATGGGAGGCTTTGTTTCCCAACAATAACTAATGGATACATCATCAACAGTAAAATGGATAAATGAATTGTGGTATAGCCACACACGGAATGACAAACATGAAGGAGAATAAATGAACTACTGCTACACAAGACAACGTGGATGAACCTCACAGATACTATGCTGTGTGAAGGAAGCTCAAGAGGCAGAGTGCATCCTACAACATGCCATTTATACCGAAAGTACAAGAATAGGTGAGAGTAACCTATGGAGAGATAAGTTAGGGTAGTGGTTACCTTTGAGGGGGTATTAAATAGGAGGAGGAACAAGGGGGACCTCTGGGGGTTGGTTATTGGGGTGTGTTCACTTGGTGACCATTTGTTGGGCTGTACCCTTAAAATATGTGCATTTTTGTGCATGTGGTTTATACTTTGGTAAAAAGATTTAAAAATGTCAGGTCTCTTGTTTCTTTTCTAGTTGCTGGAGAGCCAGTGGGATTGCACCTTATGCAGAGGACAGGTGTGTAAGGGGAAAATCACTGAGAATCAAAATGCCCTTGAAAATTCCTTGGGAAGCCGTCATGTTGGAGCCAACCACCATTTCTCAATAAATTCAGCACAGCCAGCTTTTCCTCCTGCATTAGGACAGATCGCTGTTTCTCCTGTCAAGCTCCAGATACAGTAAAGGTTTGTGTTTAGGGGTCACACAGAGGGGTGGGACACTCACAGGCAGAGGGAGGAACCAGGTGCTCCTCCTCAGAGACATGTGGGACCCGACGGGAGGGCTTGGCTTGGAACAGACACCTTCATCTCCCCTTTGGGGTGTGAGGGGCAAATGTGTTTAGTTAAGTAGACTTTAACTCAGTTAAATTAAATTCATGTATGATGTGAGACCAGCGTGGAAAAGTCTTACCTCTTGATTAACCGATCATTCCTCCCCAGTCACTCCATTGCTCCTCTTTGAGCCATCTGGAAAGTCACCTCATCTTTCCAGACCTCAGCATCCTCATCTGTAAATTGGGTGGCATGTGGACTTGGACAGAACGGGCCCTCTCTGTCGCTTGGAGAGTCTGGGATTGTAAGCTGCCCTCCAGGAGATCAAAACACCACACAATGCAGGTGGGAAGGGCTGCCATCGACTCTCGGGTGACCCAGGTCAATGCTCCCTTCTCTGGCTGGCCTCCTCATCTGTGCAATGGGGGTTTTGTCCCATGGTTCTCTTTTTGCAGGCACTGGACAGACACGGGACACAGGGGCTCTGCTAGGGTACCTGGTGCTACAGAAGAGGGCGGGGATTACCAGGCTCAGGAAGGAAGGTTGTTGGGAATGAAGATTGTAGACACGCTGCAAGATGCAAGGCTGAGGTGCATGCAGCGCACCGTGGCTTCAGGTGGGGACAGGCCTGGGGCAGCTTTTCCAGATGGCAGGTCTGCTTTCTCCCAGCCCCGACATGCCTTTCTGAAGTGTAAAGCAGCCCAGTCCTGGCCTCAGAATGCTGGGGTGAACATTTGGAGAATGGGGTTCCAGCCACTGCAGATGGATTCAGAGGCACTAGAGACACAAAGAGAGCAAGAATGAAAGGGAGGGGACCTGAAGGACAGGCAGACACCCAGGGGCAGGAGAGAGAGCAGAGGGCTGTCCACTTGGCAAATATTTGTTGAGTGCCTACTAGGTGCCAGATGCTGTGTTTGGGGCAAAGAGAGACAGAAGTAGAGAGAATGGGATAGGAGAAAGGAAGAGAGAGAAAGAAAAGGAGTCAGAGAAAGAGAGAGAGGAAGAGAGAAGCGTATGGGAGAGAGAGAGAAAGAGAAAGAAGGAAGGAGAAAGGAAGAGAGAAAGGGAGACAGACAAACAGAGGAAGAGAGAAAGGGGGAAGAGAGAGAAAGGGAAAGAGAAAGAGAGAAAGGGAGAGAGGGAAAAGGGAGAGAGAGAGAAATAGGGGGAGAGAGAGAAAGGGAGAGAGAAAGCAACAGAAGGGGAGAGTGAGGAAGAGGGAAAGGGAGTGAGAGAGACAGAGGGAGAGAGAAAGAGATAGACAGAGGGAAAGGGAGGAAGAGGAAAAGAGACGGGAAAAGGGAGAGAGAGAGACGGAGAAAGAAAAAGAGAGAAAGCAATAGAGAAAGAAGGAGTGGGGAGAGGGAGGGAGGGCAGGAGAGAGAGGGAGGAAGGGGTGGAGATAGAATGAGCCTAGAACCCGGTGGCTGGAGTTTGCAGCTGGGCAGTATAGAATGTTATGGAAACACAGACAGAGCCAGGTCTGACTGCAAAGCTCCAGCTCCTCCCACGATGGATCCTGCCTTGGCCCCCTACTCCTCACTCCTCACATTCTACCCTCAGGACCTTACCTGGGGCTGGGTGGGCTGCCCAGGAGTTCCCAAGCCTGGCTGCTCACCAGAAGTGTCTGGGAGACCCTCAAAGAAACTCTGGAGTCCTGGGCCCGACTCTCGCAGTTTGGCTTCGGGATGATGGTCTGGGGCCTAGGAATCTGTATTTTAGCAGCCACTGCCTCCCAGAGTTCAGCAGGCACGGGAGCCCAGGTGGTGGACACGTGTCCCCAGGGGGCTTCCCCTGGGGCTCCCGCTGCTGTCACGGCCACACACGGCCTTTTGCAAACACACACGGCCCATGATTGATTCTCGGCCGCTCCCCTCACAGCCCCGCGGGTCTGATTGAATGGCCGGCGTGCCGCTCAAACACCCTGCTGGAACCACTTCCCTGCCCTCTGCCCTAGAAGTCGTTTGTTTGTTTTTAGACACAGCCTTTATGTCCAGCTGAAAGGACACCAGCCTCCCCAGAGCCACCCCTCTAAGCTGGAGCCAGGCTGGGGACCGTCCCTGGGCTGGGGATGCTGAAGGGACAGAGGGACCTGGGTGCCTAGGCTGGGCCTGGTGACACTCAAGAACGGACACTGAATCCCAGGAGGAAACTCAGGCTTCCTGCATCTAGGTGACACTAGAATTGTTTGGGTGTTTGTCCCGTGCGAAGGTATTTTCACCCACCTTGACATTGAGAACAGCTTCAGGGAAGGAATCTTTCCCTCTTCCCTTCTCTTCCTTTAATTTTTTTTTTGTTTTTTTTAGATGGGGTCTCGCTCTCCCACCTAGCCGGAGTGACAGAGCGAGATTGGAGTGTGCAGTGGTGCCATCCTAGCTCATGCAGTCTCCAGTTCCTGGGCTCAGACGATCCTCCTGCCTCAGCCTCCCGAATAGCTGAGGCTATAGGCATGTGCCACCATGCCTGTCTAATTTTTAAAAAGTTTTTGTAGAGATGAGGTTTCGCCATGTGGCCCAGGCTGGTCTCAAACTCCTGGGCTCAAGCGATTCTCCCCCCTCAGCCTCCGAAAGCACTGAGATTATAGGCGCAAGCCACTGTGTCTGGCCAGAAACTGTTTCCTTTGACATTAATTTTGCACCTCCCATGAACTAGAGCCTAGCAGTCTTGGGTCTGGGCCTATGTGAACAAATTCACAGGACAACCTCTGCTTGTCGGAAGACCCGGCTCTGGAATTTCACAGACCTGGGCTTGAGTCTCAGGCGCGTGCCTCAGCTTCCTTATGTTTTAAATGGAATGATGAAGCTGGCTTTGGAGGGTGGTTGGGAGGGTTCTCAACACCCTAGATGAGAGAGAAATGCTTAGCACAGGTCTGGCACACAGTAGGTGCTCAGCCCCACTTCCTTTCTTTCTCCTTCTCCTCATCTCTCCTGGTCACAGTCACCTGGCCTTCTATTATCCCCTGAACATATGCTATAGAAAGAGGAGCACTGGGCCAGGAGTCTAGAACTCTGGGTCCTAATTCTCACTTTTCTGGACTTTGCTGTGCAATGTTGGGCAAATATCTGGCCTTCTCTGGTCTGGCCAGATCATCTCAAGAACACTTTCTCGTGCTGTGGATCCAGGTTGTGAGCTCTTGGGGGAACTGGACTCAGTTTCCCCTTTCTGTGTGCTTTCTATCCTGCCTGGTTCACAGTAGGTGCTGCAGGGACAAACATGGAAATGAGGTGAGTGGGTCATTAGTGATATCTGAACACCAAACTGAGTGGATCTGGTTGGAGGCCCTGGTTGTCAGAACGGGGCTCATTCTTCTGGGAGAACTGGGCCAGGGTGGGGAGGGGAGAGGCTACTGCATTTCTTACTTTGTTGAACCTCTGAGGCCTTATCCTGTTCTTGCAGCCCCAGCCTCCACTCCTAGTGAGGGATGACGTGTGATTAGGAGGCCAGTCTGGCTTCAGAAACCCCTCTTTCTTCTTCTTTTTTTTCTTTTTTTTTTTTTTCTTTTTTTTTTTTTTGAGACAGAGTCTTGCTCTGTCGCCCAGTCTGGGGTGCAGTGGCGCGATCTCGGTTCACTGCAAGCTCCGCCTCCCGGGTTCACGCCATTCTCCTGCCTCAGCCTCCCAAGTAGCTGGGACTACAGGCGCCCGCCACCATGCCCGGCTAATTTTTTGTATTTTAGTAGAGACGAGGTTTCACTGTGTTAGCCAGGATGGTCTAGATCTCCTGACCTCATGATCCGCCCACCTCAGCCTCCCAAAGTGCTGGGATTACAGGCATGAGCCACCGCGCCCGGCCCCTTCTTCTTCTCTTCCCTAACCCACTCCCAGGGACTTCATCTTCTCTCCCCACCCTTCCCCTTCCTTCCCCTCCCCTCCCCTTCCCTCCCTCCCTTCCTTCCCCCTCTCTCTCCCTCCCTCCCTCCCTTCCTCTCTCCCTTCTTTCTTTCTTCCTCCCTTCCTTCCCTCCCTCATGCTTCCTTCCTTTCTTACTCATTCCCTTCCTTCCCCCTCTCTCTCCCTCCCTCCCTCCCTTCCTCTCTCCCTTCTTTCTTTCTTCCTCCCTTCCTTCCCTCCCTCATGCTTCCTTCCTTTCTTACTCATTCCCTCCCTCCCTCCTTCCTTCCTTTCTTACTCATTCCCTCCCTCCTCCCTCCCTTTCTTCTTCCCTCCCTCCCTCTCTCCCTCTCTTCCTCTCCCCTCCCTCCCTTCCTCTCTCCCTCTCTTTCTCTCCCCTTCCTCCCTCCCTCCCTCCCTCCCTCTCTTCCTTCCTTCCTTCCTTCCTCCTCCCTCCCTCCCCTCCTCCCTCTCTTCCTTCCTTCTTCCTTCCTTCCTTCTTCCTTCCTCCCTCCGCCTCCTCCTCCCTCTCTTCCTTCCTTCCTTCCTTCCTTCCTTCCTTCCTTCCTTCCTTCCTCCCTCCTCCCCCCCTCCTCCGTCCCTCCGTTCCTCCTTCCCTCCCTGGTCTAGCAAGACAAAGGAAAAAGGGCCCTGTGTACCCAATTGCTACTTCACCCACCAACCCATCCCACCAGCAATGGGTGAGTGAGGCCAGGCCCAGTGCCAGGCAATGAGGACACAGCAGAGAACAAAATCACCCTGGTTTTGTCCTCAAGGGGTTCTGAGCCTGGTGGGATGACTGCCATCAACAGGCAATGTTCACTCCAGGCTCTGGAATTTCACAGACCTGGGCTTGAGTCTCAGGCTCATGCCTCAGCTTCCTTATGTTTTAAATGGAATGATGAAGCTGGCTTTGGAGGGTGGTTGGGAGGGTTCCCAACACCCTGGATGAGAGAGAAATGCTTAGCACAGGTCTGGCACACAGTAGGTGCTCAGCCCCACTTCCTTTCTTTCTCCTTCTCCCCATCTCTCCTGGTCACTGTCAGTGATCCCCAGGCAGTGTTCACTCAAGACGTTGTGTGATGGGGATGCACAAGCCATAGAGGAGCCCATAGAAGGTTCCTAAATCAGCCTGAGGCAGGAGCTATCTGGGCAGGCTGCCTGGAGGAGGGGATATTTAGGAGACACCTGCAGGGAAGGAACCAAGGGATGGTAAGTGTTCCCAGTAGAGGGAACAGCATGTGCAATCCTCTGGGGTGACAGCAGCACTCTGAGGAACTGAAAGAAGCTCAGAAATGGCTAGAAATGGAAAACCGATAAGAGTACCACCATCAACAATCATGGTGGCCTTCTTGAAGTGCCCAGTTGCCTCCTACATGATCTCACTAAGCCCCTCCGGAAGTCTACTCCCGTTTTACAGACCAGGAAACAGAGGCCTGGAGATTCCGAGACTCACCTAGACCCTGCAGTGTGTATGGGGCCCAGGGCGGAGCTGGGGTTGGATCCAGGCTGCGGAAGCTCAATGTCCTCCCCAGGACAAACAGCCAGGCTCCAGTGGGGCAAGAGAGGCAGGGTCCTGGGGAAAACTTCCTCCCAGAGCTCCCCTGGGCCAGGCCTGGAGGCCCTGGGGAGGCCCTGCAGGTGGGGGAAGAGAGGCAGGGTCCTGGGGAAAACTTCCTCCCAGAGCTCCCCTGGGCCGGGCTTGGAGGCCCCGGGGAGGCCCTGCGGGTGGGGGCGGGGCGTGGGAAGGCTGTAAACTGGCTTGGGGCGGTAGGGCTTTCCTGTCGCTGCCGGTGGCCCCTGCCTTTGTCCTCATGTGTCACTGAGGAATGCAGCTACAGTTCAGATAAAGGCAGCTTTGTTTGGAGACCTCAGGAGAGGGAAGGGGGAAGGGGGAAGGTGGGGAAGGGGGCAGGGAGAAGCAGGCTGGGGAAGGGGAGGGGTTACCATCCCTCCCTCCTGGCTGATCCCAGCCCCCTGGCTCTGGGCAGGAAGCACCTATGCCCCCGTGGACACCCATATCCTCTGCCATCCCCTTAAGGCACTTCCTGACGTTGGGCAAGCAGTTCCCTCCTCTCTGAGCCTCAGTTTCCTCATTTGAATGATGGGGATCGTCTGTCAACCTCTATGGATAGTTTGGAGGTTCCAGTCACGTAAGTCATGTGGCCGATTGTACTTGCAACGCTTATTGATGACTAAGAAAAAGGCAGCCCAGAGAGGTCGAGTGACTTGCCCAGGGTCCACACAGCTTGACCTTGGAAGGAGTGATGCAGTCGGGTGTTTGCCAAGCATTGAGGGGGTGGAGCAGAATGAGGCTGGGATCACAGGATGCGCCCTTTGATGTGGCAAGCAAGAATGACAGGTGGTCCCTTGAACGCACGCATTTGCTCATGGAAGCCTCACCAGGGTGGGCGTTGAGTTCACCCTTGGTCACTGCTGTCCCCATGCCCCTGGGTGCCTGGCACAGGCAGGCAGTAATGCCCAGTGATTCAAACCCACAGCCTCTGGGGCCAGGCAGCTACTACCTGGGGCTGTGTGATCTTGGGCTGCTCCTGAGCCTCTCCATGTCTCAGTTTGCCCCTCTGTAAAATGGATCTAATAGGACCGCCCCCTCACAGTGTTGTTGGGCAAGTTCAAGGAGATGATCTGCACAGAGCCTGACATTGGTTATTCGGATCAGTGGGACAGTGGCTATCTGCTTGCTGGCTGCACAAAGGATTTTCCCAAGGTCATGGCCGAGGGTACGCTGGGATCAGCCCAGGCTCCTCCGGGCTGTTTCTGCCCAGGAAGGAAGGGTGTGAGTCCTGCAGTGCAGGGGTGAGGCGGTCGAGTGCAGGAGGAGTAGGCATCGTGTGCCACCCAGTTCCAGGACGGGCTCTGCCCTTTTGAGAGGAGGTGTCATGTGGGTCTGGAGCTAAGGGACATGGGCCCCTGGCCCCTCCTCACAGTGACGGATGTGGACAGACAGATGGTCTAGGGCTGGGCATGCTTAGTCATAGCCCAGATATAACCTGGGCCCCATGGGGCGCCTCCCTCTGTCTCGCTGTCTCACAGCAGCTGCAGCCAATCCCAGTGGGTCTGAAGCCTCACTTTGCTCACTGAGTGGGTCTCAGCTCACTCTCTTTGGATGCAAGAGGAAATGGAAGCCCAGAGAGGGGAAGTGACTCACTCAAAGCCGCACAGCAAGTGAGGGACAAAATCATCTGGTCACTCACTGACTTGGCAAATATTTCTGGAGTCTGAAGAGTGGACTATGTCCATCGGAGAAGAACATTCCTAGAGAAAGCCCTGACTTGGACAAAAGTATGGAGGAGAAGTTCTGTGGCGGTTAAGAGTATGGGTAGCAGTCTGCTGGGACCCAAGCCCTCTCTGCCACTTGCTGTGTGACTTAGAGCAAGCGAATCAACTACTCTGTGCCTCTGTTTCCTTACCTGTAAGTTGAAGATATTCAGTGTTTATGCCATAGGGGTCTTATGAGGATGAAATGAGTTCATTCATGCAAGATGCTTATCATGAGTCCTGGCACACAGTAGGTGCTCAATAAACAGGAGCTGTTAGGAAGGCATGGGGAATGAAGGACATGTGGAACATGGGAACCACTAGCCAGTGGTTGGTAGGTAATGTCTAGAGCCCAGAGTGGGGTGTTGTGGCCCCATGTGGAAGCTTGGGGAACCAGGGCCTGGCCCTGTAAAGAGAGTGGGTGGGGGCAGGGCAGGGTAGAGGCTAGAAAGTTCCAGCAGGAGGCAGGCATTCTAGGTGAGCAATCCTGGGGCGATGAAACTAAAGCGGAAATGGAGGCAGGGACAAGAAGGAGGTGAAAAGGAGGGGCGTGGAGCCTGTCTGGATGTGGCAGGAAGAGCAGGGGTGTCATCCAGGAGAACAGTCCTGGGTTCCGATGGAGGAGAGGAACCTACAAAGGAAGAGATGGAGCCCCTGACTGGTGGGGCGAGCCACTCTCTGAGAGTCTCCGAGGTGCCCAGCCTGGTCCAGGAGATATCATCATGCTTAGGGTGGCAACACAATTTGCAGGGTGCCGTGTAAAACAAAACTGCAGTCCTCCCTGTTTAAAAAGCAGAAAAAATGTGCAGTAAAAGTACTAAAATAGGAAATGTTTGCTCTTCTTCCGTGCATCTCTTCTGTTCACCTGTGTGCTCCACTGCCCCACTGGGCTTCACTTAAAACACACATAGGTGCGAAAATTAAGAATTTCAAGATGGTGGCCAGGCACGGTGGCTCACATCTGTAATCCCAGCACTTTGGGAAGCTGAGGTGGGCAGATCACATGAGGTCAGGAGTTTGAGACCAGCCTGGCCAACATGGTGAAACCTTGTCTCTACTAAAAATACAAAAATTAGCAGGGTGTGGTGGCACATGCCTGTAATCCCAGTTACTCGGGAGGCTGAGGCAGGAGAATCACTTGAAGCTGCAAGGCAGAAGTTGCAGTGAACTGAGACTGCACCACTAAATTCTAGCTTGGGCAACAGAGCAATTCTTTGTCACAAGAAAAAAAAAAAAAAAAAGAATTTCAAGACAGCAACAGCGAAACGTAAACCCAGCTTGGAGCTTTTCTGAGAGCTGGGGTCTGTGCAACTGCAGAGATCTCACAGCCGTAAAGCTGGCCCCGATCATGCCTATTCTGCATAGGAGAAAACTGAAGCTCAGAGAAGTGAAATATCCCGGTATTCTCACTCCAATTCCAGAGCGCCCTATATTCCACACCCCCTTCCAATGCCTGCTCATATCTAATTTTTATTCACCAATCTCCAAAAAAGGGTTCAAAGCAATTGATGGCAAAATGCAGGAGCTGTTAACACAGGTGCAGTGGAAGGCACATCATGACCCTGAGGGAGGACGCTGGCCTGGGAGCTGTGTGACCTTGGATGGGCCGCGCAAACCCTCTGTGCCCACAGTCCCTTTGCAGAGACTGGCTCAGAACTCCTGCTTCCCCAGCCCCCAAGCCTTGCCTCCCTTCCTGACCCACATTCCCCTTGGTGTCTGAGGCTTGAAGCGGTTATAAAAAATAAAACCACAGTCCCCTGATGTGCTTGCTGGCTTCTCAGGCCTTATTTTTTTTGGCCGCTAAGGAGACTAATAAATGGCTTGCCACTTGACGTAATCATTAAGGGCTCCACTGAGCTGTGGGCAGTGTTTCCTCTCCTCCTTGGCCGGGCCGGGGGCGCCCAGCCACCGAGGGTGGCAGTGATGGATGGTGTTATCATGGGCTTCCCCGGGGGAAGTGCTGGTGGTGGTCGGCCATGGCTCTCTCTCCTGCGGGCTCCTGGGCTATTCATTATGGGAAGGAGGAGCTGACGGGTGGCGGTGACGGCTGGCTTCCAGAAGGAGCACGGGCTGGACTTCCAGGCGGGAGTGTGGGCCAGGGTGAATATAAAGATTAGTGTTTGGGTGCAAGGAGTCAATTCATGAGTGGCCAATAAACAGAGGGAAGGGAAGCAGGGTATAATCCAAGAATACACATTAAAGCATTTTCTGAAGTCAGAAAATTGGCAAAAATTTTAAAAATCGAATTAAAAAATAAAAATTAAAAAATTACATGATAGATTGGTTGCAAAAATGTTCTTAATGTGCCTCCCTTCTCTATATCTGTATCCTTTGCAATGTGGCTTTGCAGTTCCTCCTATCAAGAGATAGAGTCTGTTTCCCACTCCTTGAATCAAGCCTCAGTCATGTGACATATTTTGGCCAATAGAATGTGGTGGATGTGATGATGTGATTCTGTACCTGTTCTGAACCTCGGCCATAACGGACTTGCAGTTTCCATTTGCTATCTTGAAATTCTGCTGCTGCCATGGAACAAGCCTGGGCTGGCTTGCTGGAGGATGAGAGACCATGTGGAGTAGAGCCAAGCTCTGGACATTTGAGAGAGCCCTATAATAATCAGCAAAACCAGCCAGAGATGCACAAGTAAGACTGACAGATGAGAAAAACCAGCTAACTGACCTGTAGATGCATGAGCAATAATAAATGCTTACTGTTTTAAGTCATTGAGTTTTGTGGTGGTTTATTACATGGCAATAGCTGACTGATACAAATCATAATGCCCAGTGTTGGTGATGGTGTGGGGAGATAGGCTTTCTCACACATAAGTAGCAGAATGGTTTGCTAAAATTTTGCATATCCATTGAGGTAACAAAAAAAAAAAAAAAAGAAGGGATTATTATAGAGATTCTTTTTTTTTTTTTCTTTTTCTTTTTTTTCTTTTTTAAGAGACAGGGTCTCGTTCTGTCACTCAGGCTGGAGTGCAGTGGTGCAATCATAGCTCGCTGCAGCCCCAAACTCTCGGGCTCAAATGATCCTCCCACCTCAGCTTCCTGAGTAGCTGGTATTACAGATGTGTGTCACCAAGCCTGGCTAATTTTTCTTTAATCTTTTTTTGTAGAGGTGGGGCCTTATCTCACTATGTGACCCAGGTTAATCTCAAACTGCTGCCCTCAAGCAATCCTCCTGCCTTGGCCTCCTAAGTGCTGGGATTCCAAGTGTGAGCCACTGCCTGGAGATTCAATGCCTTGGCCAAATGCCTAGCATAACACTTAACACTAAAAAAATGCCCAATGTGTCTTGGTCTCTTCTCTATGGGCATATCACAAAGGGCAACAACATTTGGGAAAGCTTATTCGTAGTCTCTGTTTTGGGGATGAATTCCTTTAGAAATCCTAAATAATTTGTTTCTTATGGACAAAGATTTTATCAACAAGGATGTCCATGACAGCATTGCTTATAGCAAACAACTAGAAACAAACAACCTAACCAACGCTGTTACAGCACTCTAGTAATAACCATTGTTACTTATTTTGCTGTTTGTTTTTGCTTATTACCACTTACTTTCACTTACATTGCTTGAATCAATTAAGGTCTAGCTACAGGCTGAAATTCAGTTCAGCCGTAAAATCAGGTCTTAGAAGAGGACTTACAGACATAGGGAAATACACTTTCTTACGTATAACTAGCAGAAGGGCAGTTTGCTAAAACTTTGTGTTTCCATTGAAGTAACAAAAAGATGGAAAGGTCTTTATAGGTTCAAGGTAATATTATCATTTTGTAGGTCAAATGTTCAGGCTGTTAAATGAGAATAAAACTGGATTACAAAATAGAATTACAATGTGATCTCCATTTACATGAAAAATGGTTGTTTTGCATCTATCTCTTTCTGTCTTTAAATCTGTGCAGAAAAAAAAATCTCTGGAAGAGAGTAACCTATTATAAGATGTTGTCTGGATTTGTCCCTGATGTCGGGCTACAGGTCTCTTTTTGGTCTTCATCTTAGTGCATTTATTTTAAGCTTCTTCTGTGCCAGATGCATACATTTGGAGTCTCTTTTACTCCTTACAATGAATCTGTGATGTGAGTACTAGGACTGTCCCCATTTCACAGATGACGATATTAAGGGTTTGAGAAGTACCTTGCCTGATGTTCCACAGCTAGTAATGTAGGCAAATACCTACATTGCCAGACTGTCTAAAATATGAATTAACTATTTTGATACAATCAGAAAAAAAACCTCGAGTTAATTTTTAACAAAAGAAAGACAAGATCAGTAACCACCCTCAAGATGTAATGGTGTCATCCAAGATGAGGCATTGGGCAGACAGGAGCTCCCAGATAGATTTGAGGATTTTAATGGGCCTGAGTCTTTATGGGGCGATGACTATCATAGGAGGCTGTGTGAATAGTGGTGCAGAGTGGGAACCGAGGAGAGTGACTGTCATGGTCCATATGGGGCCAGTAGCACATCACACTCAGAGAGACCTTGACCCCTGGGGCCAGTGACCACAGACCCTCAGCTCCACAAGGGCCAGGACCTGTCTGCTGTGTGCTTGGCTGGATTCCCAGAACCTTGCAAAGCTCAAGGAACATGAGTTAAGTGAATGAATGAATGAGTGAAATCAGAAGCCAGTGGCCAAGATGAGGCTGGGTGCGGTGACTCACGCCTGTAATCCCAGCACTTTGGGAGGCTGAGGTGGGTGGATCACTTGAGGTCAGGAGCTCGAGACCACCCTGGCCAACATGGTGAAACCCCATCTATACTAAAAACACAAAGATTAGCTGGGTGTGGTGGCGCATGCCTGTAATCCCAGCTACTCAGGAGGCTGAGGCAGGAGAATTGCTTGAACCCAGGAGGCAGAGGTTGCAGTGAGCCAAGATGGTGCCACTGCACTCCAGCCTGGTGACAGAATGAGACTCCATCTTAAAAAAAAAAATTAAATTAAAAATAAATAAATAAATGAACTACAGTATGGGAACAGCTGCTGGTGTCTCCCCACCTGCCCACTGCACTCTCTCAAACTCTCCCACTCGTGTTTCCTTCTTGGTTTGCAAAAAAAAACAAGAGCCCCTCCTGCCCTCTTCTGCTGAAGCTCCCCGTTGCATTTTCCAGACCTGGAGGAACCCTGAGAAATGATCTCACCTTACATTCTCAGTTGAAACTTAGCATTTTTTTTTTTTTTTTCAAATAATCTTTTCACTCTGATGAACAAAGAATTAGTCACCGGGGAAAACGGGAAGAATGATAAAAATATGATGGAGCAGAACCCTGCCCGTGCCCCACCTTTCACCTTTCCAGCAGCAGAACCACCACGGTCGACATCCGGCAGCTCTCGCTGCTTTAGGTGTTAGGGGCCACCTATAATTTGAATCAAACAGGAGATTCCTCCGCTTCACAAAGGTCTGGCCTGTCATGTGGAGAGGAGGTGTGATCTGTTCGGGGTCTCCCAGTGAACCAGAGGCAGACCTGGGGCCAGGACCTAGGCTGCCTGCCTTGTGCATTTATTGGACACTCATGGGTGGGTGCTATCTGTAGATGAAGACAGAATTGAGGCAGAGAAGAGCAGAGTGGGAATCCCAGCACTTTGAAAGCCTGAGGTGGGAGGATCTCTTGAGGCTAGGGGTTTGAGACCAGCCTGGGCAACATGGTGAGACCTTACCTCTACAAACAAAATAAATAAATAAAAAATAGCCAGGCGTGGTGGCACAGGCCTGTAGTCTCAGCTACTCAGGAGGTTGAGGAGGGAGGATTGCTTGAGCCCGGGAGGTCGAGGCTGCAGTGAGCTATAATCGCGCCACTGCACTCCAGCTTGTGCAGCAGAGCAAGACCCCATCTCTAAAAGGAAAGAAAAAAGAGCAAAATGGGCTCCAAAGCGGGTGGGGAGAGATGTTTCTCTGAGAGGTGACCTCTGGGCTGGGGCCTGAGGGATGTGGAGCGGTGGGAAGACCGGAGGAAACGGCCAGGGTGAAGTCCTGGAGGCTTGCTTGGTGTGAGCAAGGGGAAGAGTGAGAGGAGATGGGATCAGATCGCTGGGCAGGGCCAGGGCACAGGGTCCTGAAGGCCATGGTAAAAGGTGAGCAGAGGGCTTTAAGCAAGGGGGAGACGTGACTGGATTCACGTCCTAAAAGGCCACTGGCTGCTGTGGGGCTGAGGCTGGAGTTCTGCCGAGGCTCTGCAAGTCCAGCCTCTGGCACACGGTTCTGACAGGACCCGGCTCTCCCTCCAGCCCTCTGGCTTCTCTCCCAGGGAGCACGCAGTGGGTGGGTCCATTGGCTGGGCCACAGGCCAAGGCCTCCTTGCATCAGGGAGGTAGTGGATGGGGGTCATGGAGCGCCTGCCCTCACTGCAGGGAGATGGGAACAGCAAATCCCTTCCCTGGCCTGGCTGGGGCCTGCCTGCCCTGCACGGCCCCAGTGACATCCCAGGGCATCTGCCAAAGCCAGGCTGGCCGTGTTCTGCTTTGCTCAGCCTCCCTGTGACCTCGGTGTCATGCCATGTGAGGGGCCCAATGACCACAACTCACTGGGCATCCAGGTCAGGCCAGAGCCTGAACCAAGCATTGCCTTGGTACATCACACCGGCCCCCCCAGGCTCAGACTAACGCTCAGGGACACAAAGTCACCTGCTGAGGGTCACACAGCCCATCATGGGTGCAGAGGGACTGTAGGACACTGCTCTGCAGGTCCCTTCTGCCCCACCCTAGGCTCTACCTCTCAGCCCCTGGGGGATGCCCAACACGAGGTCAGAGGAAGAAAGATGGGGAAGGGTGTTCCAGTCAGTGGGAACAGCATATACCAACTCCTGGGTGGACAGTGTATACTTTTTTTTTTGTAACTGCTTTATTGAGATGTAATTTACATACCATACAATTCACCCATTTGAAATGTACAATTCAATTTTTTTTTTTTTTTTGAGATGGAGTCTCTGTCACCCAGGCTGGAGTACAGTGGCATGGTCCTCGGCTCACTGCAGCCTCTGCCCCCCAGGTTCAAGTGATTCTCCTGCCTCAGTCTCCTGAGTAGCTGAGATTACAGGTGCGTGCCACCACGCTCGGCTAAGCTTTTGTATTTTTAGTAGAGACGGGGTTTCACCATGTTGGTCAGGCTGGTCTCGAACCCTGACCTCAGGTGATCCACTGGCCTCAGCCTCCCAAAGTGTTGGGATTACAGGCGTGAGCCACCACGCCAGGCCTCAGTGGTTTTTAGTATAGTCAAGAGTTGTGTAACCATCACCACTGTCAAATTCCAAAACATTGTCATCACCCCCAAAAGAAATCCTATAACATTAGCGATTACCCCCTATCCCCTGCAATCATTAATCCATTAATACTTTCTGTCTCCACAGATTTTCTTATTCTGGATATTTCATATAAATGGAATCATACAATAAGAGACCATTTGTGTCTGGCTTCTTTTTTTTTGAGACAAGGTATTACTCTGTCACTCAGGCTGGAGTGAAGTGGGACGGCCATAGCTCACTGCAGCCTCGACGTCCCTGGCTCAGGTCATTCTCCCACCTCAGCCTCCCAGGTTGCTGGGACTACAGGTGTGTGCCACCACACCCAGATCATTTTTTGGGTATTATTTGTAGAGATGAGATTTCGCCATGTTGTCCGGGCTGCTCTTGAACTCCTGGGTTCAAGTGATCCCGCCTTGGCCTCCCAAAGTGCTGGGATTATCGGTGCAAA